CATAATTTTCAAAAATTTATTTTTAAACATTGATAAACCATGGGTTGCATGCAGAAATATGGCAATCTCAGAATATGCTCAATTCTTGTTCATTATTGTTATTTTCTAAAGAAGATAATTTAATTATTATTATAAAAATCTTTATATTAGATAAATCATATATGATGATATAAACACTATTTACATACTGTAGCAAAACAAGTTTTCTATTATTATTTTTTAAAATTCATAGAAAAACTTTTAATATTAATAATAAAAATATTTGACTTTTTCATGTTGCTGAATTGATACAAAAAATTTTACTATACAATATTACAATTTCAATTAAACCACTATATATTAGCAATAGGTATGACTTACCAATAACATACATCACCTTACACACTTCTTTTTCTATAGATGTATCAGTAAGAAAATTTTATGTTATCAATTTACTGAAGCTGCCAATAAGGTTATGATCATCTTTATTGATAATCCATTCTAAAATATATACATATTTAGTATAAGCTAAATATAGATTATTTCATGTGATTTCAATTCATAAAAAAAAAAAGAAAATAAACATGTTCAGGTTTAGAGTGCATATAAAAAGTTATTAAAACATTACTTATGCAATTGTTAAAACTTTATACAGTAGAACCTCGAAAACTCGGCTCTCGATAACCCGGCACTCCGGATAACTCGGCCACACCCTGACAGGGCAAAAAAATCCTTAGTTAATTCATTTTCATTATAGACAGCTTTATAAAAGTATAAAAGCTCTCATAAAGTATTTTTCTGAGGTCNAATGTTGCCGGGAAAGTTGAGCAACTGGTTGCTGGTTTATTAAAGTTAGTTTTGTTAAATAATATTTTATTGTGTTTCCATATGTTTGATTTATAAGAGAATATAATGTATATGTATTCTTTTATATATTCAGACATTCACAAATTATAGACATTAAAGATGAGTATGAGAAACATTTTTTTAAATTTTCAGCCGTGTAATAGGAAACAAAATCGTCTAATATGTTTTCTGAGCCAGCTTGCAGAGATGTATTTTTTGGACAATCTCGTGGATGCAAATGAAAATGCATTGGTAATAACCAATGCTTTTTCATTTGCATCCACGAGATTGGTCCATACATTTATTTCCTGAAGTTTAGGGCTTTTTCGAGACTATATCATTAGGATCGTTAAATTCATCTAATGTCTTTTTTTCTGTCCGACATTTCTAATAATTTCTGAATCCAATTATCTTCATTCCATCTTTCTTTCTGTTTATCTTTATTTCCTTTCGTTACTTCAATTTTGGATCAATCCTACGATGCGAATCTCTTGAGATATGGATTGGTTTTTTCATTTTTTTATTTCTCATATTATTAATTTTTTTTATTTATTCCAAAATTTTCTTTCTCGAAGATTGTTCGTCCTTCTTGTGGCAAAGAGTTTGAGATATTTGTTTAAAAAATAATTAAAGTCAGAATGCAAATCCCAAAACATTGTTACATTGCTTTCGTGTTTAAATGTAAACAAAATTTGAATATCGGAAAGGTAAGTAACTAAAGAAACACAAGAATATTTTGAAAAATTCTTTATGAAAGTAGGATATATATACAAATAAAAGAAGTAATTCATCTAGAATTCGTTACATTACTAATTATTTTATTTTAATTCAATGTACAGTACAAGTTTATTTGGCAGTGCAAATTAATCGCTTTATTAACATGAATGCAAAATAAACAAGAATAAATAAATGTACAGTACGTGTATAAAAGTTTAAATATCACATTTTAACTGTTTTTTGTTTGTTTTTAATGTAAAATGATGATTTAATATATAAATTTTATACGAAACAAAATTCTTACGTCAAAAAATTCGGTGAGTTTTTTTTACATTGCATGATATAAGTGAGAAGCTGATGCAGAAAGAGTGAATGGAGCGCAATAACTGCGTTTATTTCGACCACAGAATGGCATATTCTCTATTCAGAAAATATAAAATAGCAAAAATGGACACATTTTTTCATCTATGATATAAAATTTTTACTGTTGAATTGTGAAACCATAGAAGTCAATAGTAAAATTTTTCTGTGTATCGTATACTTTTTTAATTTAAAAAAGTGTTTTTTAAATTAGAGACAAATTAAAAATTTTCCTCGCTTTTTGAAAATAAGCTAGAAATGGTTGAGTAGTTAGGATACACGAGCTGTAAAGAAGAAAATCTTAGAATTGAGGCAAACATGACACCAGTAAAAAACTTTATCTGGAAACTATTTCTAAAAATGATATGCATGTAGATAAAGGCATCAGTAATTGCTATAAATCAATTTGTTTATAATATTGTGTCATTTACACTCTTATAGAACCCTCTCTAATACGAATATTCAAGTAATATTAACATTAGAGATTCTAAATAAATACAGTAACAATATGCAGTTTTTTTGTAGCTTTATATGGAATTTTCGTGTTCAAACTGAAGAGGACGAAACACATTTTCTGATTTATGTTATTTAAATAAAGTGTCAAAATAAAGTCTTAAATCTAAGTTTTTATGCTTAGTATAATCAATGAATTAATTAAAATGTATTTGCAGAAAAAGCTCATCTTAATTTTATGGAATACATTAAACGTTTATTTTTTACTTTCGGTCTATGCAGGCAATGTTTGCTTATATAAATGCAATTTTTTTCCCTATTATTTATATGAATTCCCCACGTGTTTAAATAGAACTCTGTGTAAATAATGTAAAGTATTTCAGACAAATAAATTGAAACGTTACCCAATTGATTAATATTTAAATTTCTTTTTTTTAACTAATAAATATAGATAATTCTCAAATAGCCAGTTTAATTTATGGTATATTTATCTCTTAATATTGATATATTATTATATTGTTACTTCGNCACTTTTGTCTTAGTGAAACGAGGGCAAAATGATCAAAGTGCAAAATGGATGTGACAAAGTAATCTTACATTTAACAATTTATTTTACCATTTCTGTATGCTTTTCCCTAGGAGAATCCCATCAAAATAATCAAAACCATCACATTTTAATTAAAATTTTGGCTGTCAGCTTTTATTAAAATTACAGATTGAGAGCTCTGACAGTATATATTTAACTACAAAAGAAATGGATACATGAACCCCATAAAAACAAAATTAAACTTTATATATATAAAGTTTAATATATAAAACTAGTAAGGGAAATCGATTTGATTTGTTGCGCGATCCTACACAGATTTAAATATTTGGGCAGTCTTTTGTTTTTTATGGATATTCATGCTCTGAAATGGGGTCGGCCATGTATAAGAAAAATAAAATAAAATTTCGGTTCGAACTCCTCATAAAAATCACGAGGATCCGGATCGGATGCCACACTATAGATGTAATATGGTAAGAAGAGCAGCTTACCATCCAGCTGACTTGAAAAAATATACGGTAGAATAATTAATGATGTTTTGTTTATTAAGAAAAAAGATTTATTAACCGTAATATTGATAATATCCACACTTTTGTACTTGGAAAAAATATTACACAATTCTTAATAATTTTCCTAGCAAAATTAAATAAGTTTGATTGTTCTCAATTTTACAACTTCATATTGATTCCCTATGTTTAATGTTAAAGTACTGAAAGTATTTTGGCTTTTTGGGCTGCAATTTTCAAATTTCAGACCAAATTCCCACAGGCATCCGTCTGCTGTCTATGTTTTGTTAATTTCAAAAACAGAGTTAGATAGATGAAAGTTGAGACTAGATATGAAAGCTTAGGAACAGGAAGCCCTGATTAACTAAATACGAACTTCCAGTGTTGGAGCGGAAGTTACATGATTTCAATTCAAAATGTTCTTCGCAACGGAGTTAGATGACGGGCATGACTCGATTGTTATCAGGAAAAATATGATGTACAGGGGCAAGAGCTACTAAACTCGGGAGCATACATGTATATTTTTAATTAAATAAATTAAAATATGATTAAAAATTGCAGCACGGCATTGTGGCGAGGTCAATAATTTTGTCGATTTTTTCACTTAATTTATAAATAAAAATAATACTATTATTTATATATTTTTTTCAACTATGACATCGCGCGACTTTGTCGTATCGAGATAGAATTGAGGCAAAACCGGAAAGAAAGAAAATACTGTATCCCTGTACTTGTTAGGCACAGAAGACACGATCCTTGCACTGGCCGCATGGAGAGGCGATCCAAGAACAAAGCAACCGGTGACGATTGCTTTATTCTTGTGTTTTGTTTGTTTTTCGCGCTATTTTCCGTTAGGCGCACGCAATGGCATCGGAGAGCACGGGCACTTTCATCTCTGTATATCGAAAAAGAAGTCAGGGACTCCTATTTTTACATTTAAGTGTACCCTCATTTAAATTTATCGTCGCGATTAATGGAAAATGGCAAAGTTTTATCAAAATTTGCCCATTAAATTTTGAGAACGAACTCAATTCTATAGCCATAGAAGACGTATTAGCGAATCAAAATCGATTGAACAGATTTTGAGAACGAACATAATTCTGTAAGCTACATAGAAAAAGCTTCCCTAAAGCTCTGCCTCAAATATAATTTTAAAATATATGAATATAGTTTAAATTTTGAAATTGAAATATTAAAATGGATTTAAACTGAATACTTTCTGATCAAACTTAATTACATTGCAATTCTGTGTGTTTTCATAGTATAGCATAGTAATATATGAATACAGTACAATAAATTTTTTTTTTATAGAAAATTTGTTGTATGTTTATTCTATAATCTGAAATAAATGCTTGAAATTTTAAAATGAATTATACTTTCTGTTAATGATAATATATTATAATAGAATGAATGTTTTGTACTGTATATAAATGTAAACAGGTTAAAAAAAAATGAATCTCTGCCAGAATACAAAACACTAGAATGTCAAACATTTTAAAAATATTTTATTTGAAATTTAATGAAAAACTTATTTGTATTTATTAATTATGCTCTTATTTTTTTATTAATTTTGCTATTTATGTACTTTTTTGCAGAAATAATTAATGAATAAAAATAATAAATGGATGCTATTTGAAATTATCAAGGAGAAATTTCATTGGAAGCATATCTGTTTCAACTGGATAAAAATCCATATTTATATTTATTATCCTGTTGGAATGGTGGTGAGTTGTTTTAATACTTTTAATTAAAATTATTTTTACTTATTATATTAAGATGTTTATCTTTTTATATGTACTCTAACCAATTTCTTAGTTTATGGCATATACTCCACTGTTGTATAATATATATATATATACTGATCCTATTCTATACTAATATTATAAAGAGGTAATGTTTGTAAGTATGTATGTAAGTTTGTTTGCAGCAGGTAATCTCCGAAACTACTCATCCGATTTCAAAAATTCTTTCACCAATATTTAGAATGGACCTTCAGGGTGGACATCGGCTGTATATTATTCCGGTAAACATTCATATAAATTAAAAGATATCATCTAGGGTTAAGGCTTTTATGTCCAACAGATGGCGCTACGAGTATGATGACCTAAGTTTGCTTTTCTGTGAGGATGAACTAAAGCATATCATCTATCTATCTATCTACATAAATAAAAATGTAATGTTCGTTTGTTCCTACCGATTCCTTTGAAATTTTGACACAACGCTGCATTCGAATACGCATGTGTTTTTATATAATATACATGGCGAAATTCCCCCCACCGGGGGGAGTTGGGTTGGATTAAGGTAGGGGTGGCCAACCTTTTGCATACCATGCGCCAATTTTTTGATAGACGAGTTCAGATGCGCAGTGGCGTACCGTGGGTGTTAGCCGCCCGGGGCGGAGAAAAATTTCGGCCACCCTTTAATCAGGTATTTCAATTTAAAAGATCAAAATTCAGTTGTGTGAAAAAAAAATTAATAAAAAATGCGGTGGTGGTGTAGTTACCCGTACAAAATAGTCCCGTTTGACATTAGTGGCATACACGATTGCGAATGTATCGTGAATCGTAGAAGCAAAAAAAAAAAGGTCAACAGGTGTAGCAGTCCAACCGACTCGTGGACTGTCCGGACGGTAGCACTGTCATTTAGACGCCTATGCACTGATCGAAAATAAACATACATGCATACACTGTAATTTACTAT